TTGGGCCAATAAGCCTCCAATTTGACTATCATGGGCTTAGAACCCTTAAATGGGCTCTAATTGGACCCACATCTATTTATTTCAACATTTTGGGCCATATTGGGCCTAGAATGAAATAAATTCAAAACTATGAACCATGATTAACCTAAACTAGCCCAACAAAGTGTAAAAATCATATTATATTTCTTTTGGGACTAAAAATCATCCAACTTAACATCTATATGGGCTTAGGGGCAATAAAGCCCAAAAACCTTTTTCCTTCCCAAATTCTCGGCCCAAGGCCCAAATCCCAGAAGAAATGGAGAAGTGTTGACTATTTGCATGCCACCTCACTTATATCCAACATGTTTCCATGCACCTCTCATACTTCTAGGAGCATATCACTTCAAAGATCACTTCTTCTTTCCCTCTCACTCACTCTCGGCCGAAACACACACACACACATACACAAATATCTCACAAATTCTCTCTAGAATACTCAAGAACACATCCTTCCTCTCCACTCAAAAATCTCGAAAATTAAGAGGCTCTCAAAAGGATATTTCCACAAACTCCTCATCTAAGGTAAGGTTTTGCTTGGATCTATGACTTATATTCTTTGTTCTATCAAAAACCTCTTCCTAATCCATGCAAAAATCGTGATCTTGCATCCTAGAAAACTCCATAAACTCGAAAGCTTCATCAAGGGTGCTAGGGTCAAAAATCACCAAGTTTTCTTCCATCTTTCCTTCAAGAACCAAAACTACTCCCTAAGGTGAGCTTCATACCCCCTTATTTTCGGTTTTTATAAGTTTTTGTGGGGGAGAATACAAGCAAAGGTGTATATCCATCATTATGTGTATGTTTTGGTTGATTTCTATGCTTATATGTATGTTTTGTATGATTTTGATGCTAGATCTAGTTATGAATTACTAAAAACCGAGATATATTTTATACTAGCATGAAATATACTAGTACATGCCAAGTATACCAAGAAAAATAGCCAAATGGCTTGACAACACTTATTTTGGGCTAAAAACTCATTTTTTTGACATAAAATGTTAAAAATACAAAGTAAAAGGGCCTAAAATGAAATATTTTGAAATCTGATGGGTGAGATGAGTCAAAACAGTTTCCATAATGTATTTTCTGAAAATATACTCTTTTGGAGGATTAAAACATAAATTTCAAGCTTAATGGGCTAAAAATGACAATTTCGGCCCAATAGGGCCCATTATGCGAAATTTTATGTTTTGGAGGGACAAAACTGCGTTTTTCTATAAAACAGTGGACTACTAGTGTTACAAGTGCTTTTCAAAGGTTTAAAATGCTTTTCAAATTTAAAAGGGACCAAAGTTGCAAAAATTTTCCAATTGGGGCCAAAATTGTAAAAACTGCAAAAAATGAGGGTTATAACCGAGAAAACTGCAATTTCAGGGACTTAATCTGTTTTCAATGAAAAATATACTGAAAAATATTAATTTCAATAATTTTTGGTGTTAAAATGTCAAGAAAAATGGTTTAAGGACTAAACCGGAAATTAATTTACCTAAAGGGGTGAAAAAGTAAATTTACAAAATAAAGAGGGGTTGTAAACATAAAATTTTCAATGATAATTCAATACACTCGTTGTGAACAAAGACTGACACTACGACTCTCGATGAATTACAATACACAATATCACCAACAATCGTTATCAAACGAATTGATTCGGTCTCGAATCAATAACAAATCTAAAACTACGAACACTACAACGCTCAATTCACATATGGAACTCTCGGAACTCTATACTCTCGTGGAATTACTCAATACGTCGACGTACACTCCTTAGGCCCAAAAGTTGCAAATCATGCTTGTCGAGCCTAGCTAGCCCGATGACATGATCGTTAGGCCCAAAGGACACTTGCTTACATGTAGTTGGGTCTAATACGACTCGACCGCGTGTAAAAGGACTTTCAATGGCAAACATGCTGCTGGTCCCCAAGGGTCCTTTGGCGCTGCTAGTAAAGTCGGGAACTCACGATTGCTGGTTGGGCTTCGGGCCCTTCGCAATTGCAATGGTCTTGAACGACATAGGGAAATACCAAGGGTTTTGCACCTTCACTTTTTCTCCTCGGTCGTGGGACTACACAAGTCCGGGAGGATTGAGTTGTGTGAATAAGTGCGAGTGACGCCTAAGGGATCGCTAGTACGGTTGTCAACTGGATGTTTTCATTAACGTACGTTACAACAATTCACCACCCTCTGTATACTCAATGCCTCCGGAGCTCAACGAACACCCTAACGTAACGAAATAACAACACACAAACTAAGTAAAGCAAAGTGATAGGAAAACGTTGGGTTTTCCTAGGGTTTTCAACTAGTACATTTATGAATTATATGTCAAATTTCACAACTCTTACGCTTACATCTATAGAATTCAAACAAGCATACTCACGGATCTTCACATATTTTTACGCTATTCTATTTTCAGAAAATATCGGATTTTCTGGTGGTTTTTTTTTTCAAAACATTACAAACATTGGATTTCAAACATTACTTATGAACTCACCAACATTTCATATGTTGACGTTTTTCAAAATACTTGTATTCTCAGGTAACAGATAAGTGAAGAAAGGACTGTACTCTATGATTGTTTTGCGGTTGTTTAAGTAACAACGAACAATGTATTTTGGAATGTAATATTTTGAGACAATGTAACGGATGTAAATGCTACCAGTTGTATTATTCCAATGCTTGGTGATGTATGATGTTATGTTTTATGTATATTCACTGTGATGGTATTCAATTGAGTCACAATAGCCCCCGGACGTTTCCGCCGTCTGGTTCGGGGGTGTGACATATATATATATATATATATATATATATATATATATATATATATATATATATATATATATATATATATATATATATACTAGCTGTTACCCGCGCACAGCGGCGGGGACAAATAGTTTCTTTCAACGATATTTTTTTAACGAAAAATGTTATGTTCCAAAAGAAAGTTCATGTCGTGGGTGAGAGGAAGGGCGGTAGTCGTGATAGTGGTTGATTGAAGGCGAAAGGAGGCAGAGCGGCTGTGGTGGTGGTGGTTATACTGTCTTGGTTACTGGTTAGGGTTCTTCGAGAGAGTGTGCGTATATTTCTTACTTTGAAGGGATTACGAATATAGATATTCTGAGATTGTTTGTTACCAATGTGAGAGAAGAGATCCTCTATAAATTGTTGACATTTACCGCTTCAAATGGTTGAAGTGTTGAGATTGACGGGTTCAATTTGCAAATGAATTCTTCTATTAATTTGATACGAGATTTTTAAGGGATAAAGGATATGGTTAAAGTTTTAATATTATTATATTATAAATGGGTTGTACTTCAAGCTTAATAGTTTGGACGTCTTAAAAAAATAATATTATTATATTCAATCTATTTATAGAAATAGTTAGATTTCTTTTATAAGTAGTAAAGATATATATATATATATATATATATATATATATATATATATATATATATATATATATATATATATATATATATATATATATATATATATATATAATGAGTCCGAGATTTTGAGCTTTGGTTGTAGAACATTTTATGTCAAGATAAAACTACTAAAATATATAAATATTATGACTTTTATTACGAGTATACCACATGTACTTTCAAGTCGGTCAAAATCATGGTTTTCCAAAAGTTAAAAAATCATAAAAAACAAACATTTTTTTTTGTGTCTAGTGGAAGGGTTTTTCTATCTAGTTACGTGTAGTGGGAATTACCAAAGTTGTTTAAACACTACTCCAATCAGTTCCATGCCTCGACATCATATAACAAGAATATATCATCAAAACTTCATCATCAACCAATATTGAAGGTTCACATCGTATAAGGTTCGTAGACGATGTAATCGAGCCGAACCGAGTCAATGATTGTCAAGTTCAAAACTCGACTCGACTAAAAAACTAAAGTTCGAAATTCGACTCGAACCTCAATTTCAATCTCGGCCTAGAACTCGATAAAGTAATTGACACTTTCGAGCTCAGCTAGACTCGATTAATTATCAAAAGACTAAATTGCATTAAATTGAAATAAAAAATAAGACTAATCTTGTGAGCTTGATTCGACTGGGCTCGATTATGTAAAATATAATAAAATAAATGATAAAAGTATTAATATAACTAAGTTCGATTAAGCTCGCGTGTTTTATGAGCTGATTATTTCAATACTCGAGCTCGACTCAATAATATACCCACTCGAGCTCAACTTGGAGCTCGACCTGAACCAAATCGATTTCAAGTATTTTTAAAGTTGGTCTCGAGTATCTCACAAGCTGACTCAACTTAGTTACACTCCTTTTAGTCATTAGCACATCAAAACAACAAAGTAGAATTTATTAGATCTTTATTTGTGGTTTAGTGAATTTTGAGTTTGCAACATACTTCATCTGATTTAAAATCATTTTGGCTAGGATCAAAATTTGTCGCCAAAACCTGTTTACTAATGTCAAAGAACTAACCACAAACTACCGTCAAGCTAGCAACATAATGAATGCTGTTCGTGTCCAATTTCGTTAAAATTTCGTCCATGTTGCTTATTGTTGTTTTACCGACAGAACTTTTAAGTTGTTAAACCCACCGTCGATACTCAAATTTCTACTATTAAGTAGTGTGAATAAAGAAGAAAGTTATATATCTTACTAAAAAATATAACATTTTATTATTGATTGTTTTGGAAAAAATACCTTTTATCTTTTGGAGATCAATCATTTTTAATTTATATTATGAATATCTAATAATTATTAAAGTGGCTGTCCTGTGGTCATTTGAGATTAACATTCAAAATGTTCTATCTTGTATAATCTCATGTTCTAAAAGAAAAATAATAACGTATGCCAAATATATATGTTGGTAAAATTCAAGGGGAGTTTTAATAGGTGTCCCGGTATAGCACCGACAACACCTATTTTTTATTTCTGCAGTGGAAAAAATTTCAATTTTTCGATTTCTTTTATTTATTTTTCTTGTATTGACAACATTTATTTCAAACTCGACAACACCTACTATGTATTCCTGTATCCGGCCTAATAAAATTGTACCTAGCTTATCTCAAAAAGCTTTACCTCCATTTACATGCCTCATTAAGAATTAAAACAGTTATAACACATATTAAGTGACATCATTCTAGAAAGAAAAAATGTCAAGAGTTCGAATCCAACTCAAACATGCATTGAGTTAGACTGTGTGAAAAAGATCCCATCATTTTAATCATCATATATATTTTTAAGTCTTCTCTTAAACTCGTAACTATGTACGTGATATCTCTTTTACACAAAATACTTAGTACTTTTTTTGTATAATTAACTTTCATATTCTTTATACTCTGTCGACACACTAATAAATTAGTGTATATATGTTCAACATCATCATATCTTATCCGAGTTCCCATAGCAATTCACTAAATCCTGGATATTCATAATTACAACATCCCTTCAACGATTCATGCTAGTATCTACTAAATTAACTTGATGAGGATTGAGACGAATCGGAAGCCCATTTACAGGGGCAGCCAATGGATCATATTCGATTTTCTCATCGGGTACTAACAAGTCCCATTTGAAATTGGTGACAATGTTGTGGAGGAACACAAGTACTTGCACTCGTGAAAATTCTTTCCCTAAACACATCCTTGGCCCCCCTCCAAACGGCACATATGTATATGGAGTTGGTCCTTTACCTTCAAATCTAGATGGATCAAACCGTGTCACGTCTTCAAAGTTATCCTCATCTTTATGTGTCGATACAGCACTCCAATATAGCTAAAGATATATACAACATGAATACAATATATAAGATTAGGATATCTACGAGTTTCTAGGGTGCATGGCAATAAAATGAGTTCACAAGCTGCATGCATACCAATTACTATAAGTTATAACTATAAATAAAGACCCTATATTACGAGATATTGTATATGTATGTGAAGTCTAATTAAACCCATATATATACTATTGCCTATTGGTAGTGTTCACATCGATCGTTACCTTCCATCCTTTGGGAATGGTATAACCAGCGTATTCAAAATCTACGAGTGCCTCTTTATAGGATCCAATGGAAGGAGAATTTATTCTCATAACTTCACATACGACATTCCAAGAATATCTCATCTTCTGTACGTCCTCCCATTTCAACAATTCTCCTGCGGCTTTTAACTTTGAAATCTCCAATTGCTCTACAAATCAACAATGTCGATAATAAATTTTGATCCAGAAAGCATAGCAAATAATTGCAAGATAGTTAACGTTCCATAAGGAGAAGGGATGGGAGCATAAATTAAACAGATCACCTCTCAACACCTTGTCATAAACATGAGGGTGTTGGCCAAGATTCTTCATGATCAACGAGATGGATCCTGTGGAGGTGTCATGACCAGCAAATAGTAGTAACAAGAAGTTATTTGCGATCTCCATCTCAGTTAAAAATTTGCCATTGTCGTCGGAAGATGTAAGCAAATGTGACAGGAGGTCTTGTGAAGATGATGCCTTTCCTTCTTCCAAAGCCACTTTTCTCTCTTTAATAATGGTCATAAGGTCTTTCCTAATAGCTGCCGCTGCTTTTTTCGATCTATAAAATCGTGTGCCTGGGAAGTCTAGAGGTAGCCCAATGATGCCTTTCAAGAAGATGTTGAAAAGGGAAGCAAGTTTTGCGATATGGTTAGGCTCCTCGAGGCTAAGAAATAAACGGCAGGCGAGCTCAAAGGCGTATAGCTTCACGGTTGGGTATACGTTCAACTCCTCCTTGCCTTCATGGGAACGTACAATCGGAAAACAAACAGTTTAGCGACTTTTAATGCATAAAGTAAAAAGCAAAAAGCTCAAATTAAAATAAGTTTATTTTCACAAATAGGACCTTCACATGTAAACTTATTAATTTTTGATTTCAAATTTCAAATTTTATATTTTTTTTTTTAATTATATTAGATTTTCATTTCAAATTTTAAATTTTAAATTTCATATTCAAATTATATTAAATTAATAACATTAGAATAAAAAATAAAATCAAATAAAAATATATTATAAGGTGATATAATTTTATGTATTTATTTAAATCAAAGATTATAATTTTATATAGTTAAAGAAATATCTCTTAATTAATAATTCATTTAAAATAGTTTGTTTAAAATAATTGATTAATAATTTTAAGTTTTATGTATTAAAGTTTAATTAATTTTATAACCATTGTTTTTACATGTTATAAATTAGTTCGTTAATAAAAAGAAAAAGCATAAATATTGTACTTACGAATTAACATGAGATTTTTCAATATTTTCATAACCTCCAAGTTTAAGCTTAAATAAATGGAATACATAGGCTTTCCTATTATTAGATCACAAGTTTAACATCACTACCCTTAAGTTCAAAGCAATACATGCACGTAAAGCTTGACCCGAGTTCCAAAATATTCCACAAGAATTAAGAAACCTAGCTAGATATATACCTCAAGATGAGCAAACGATCGAGGATAACCAACAGTATTTTTCAAAACCCACACTAAAATGATCATGGAACGTCCAAGGATACGAGAGATTTTGAATTAATTTGTTAATGTTCCCAAAAACTAGTGGGTTGTAGTGAATGAGTTGATGCCTTATAAACATTAATTAGGCTTCAACTGAAAATGGGTATAGAACAGGGAAAAGTTATAAATCGTCTATTTACCTCGCCAGTGAACTTCGATATGGCGACGAGTGATGATGTCCATGGTGGCAACATAATGACTGGCGAAAGCTTCTGGACCCAGATACGATAACATCATCTTCCTCATCCACTTTGCTTCATCACCACGGATTGTAACCAAACACCGGCCAAAAAGCTTATTCACGCTCGACGGCCACCATGCCGCCACCAGCTTGTTCTCGTTCCCAAACAGGAACTTGTTGCCGGCGGGACCATAAAGCACTGCCATACGCTCCCCAAAAACGCACGTCTTGAATACTAATGGATTGCCATGTTTCTTGATTCGTTCTCGAACAAATCTCTCCGGAGTTCCATCCCAATTTGCCCGGAGAAATGATATAGATTCTCCGACGAACGGCCATCCAAAACTTCCTGGTGGAAGATTGATTTTGCTTCTTCCAGATTTTCGGTTCTTGTAAATGATTGAAAAAACGTATGAAATAACTACGAGGAGAAGCAGTGCTAGAAACTGATCAATCATGGTTTGTTTGTGGCACTCATGAATTGGAAGAACATCAAACTTATGTGTCTTATATGATGTGTTCATGATTATGGGATAAAAATGAATGCTCAAAATGTGTGGCTTAGCTTGATCATGTAATATCTAATTAAATAATTTTCAGAAACTGATAAAATGGGTAACCAGTTTGTCCATGCATGCTTTTAGATTGACGTACGCAAAGGGCAACTAATGTTTTCACTTAATTTATTCAAAGTAACCTCGGTACAGGTTAACTATTCATAACAAATGTTTATATATCGATAGATACAGTAAATTACTACAGTTCGTCAACTTCTTAATTTTGGAAACGATGGAGTTCGTCAAATGATTCTTTTTATGGGCGTTTGATTCATAGATTCTTTTGAAAGAGATTTTAATTTTTCAAAATCATGAGAATTTAATAGATTTGGAACTTAAATGAATTAAAACATTATACTATGTTTGATTTAAAAAAAATGGACTTCCAATTAGAAATATTTTAAATATGTGGCAAGTTAACAATTTATTTTATTTTCTATTCCTAAATATATTGAGATCACCTGAAGCTTTTGATGCAAAATGATATCAGACGACCTAGTTCAATCAAATAAGTCCAAACGTTAACTTTTGATCAATTAAATGAATCAAACGTTATCTTTCAAAAGCTTTTGTACTTTTTATTTAAAGAGAATGTAATATTTCAAAAGAGTGTTGTTAGGCCTGGCTGTTACGTAATAGTGTGGATTGAGCTAGGTTACGCTTTGCAACGGTGGAGAGAGAAGTATGCATGTAATGACACATGATTACCTAAAATAAATTGTAATCTACTCCGGACAATGACACATGATTACCTAAAGATCTTGATTAATAAGGCCATACCGAAAGGTCACCCGTGTTTGGGATGCCACATAGATATTTCACCATTCCACACCCAATCCACCATGGTATGGAAATGGTGTTCACGGTGGGCTGGTGGTGAAGGGGGCAAAAAGAAAGAGAGAGAAAGAGGGAAACTGTGAGAGAAATTGTGAAGGACCAATCAGATGCAGCGTCTTCTTCCGTCTTTCCATTCACGTCACACGCAGCCCACCGGTTTTTGGGGCGGTGTTCACGCGTGGGAGAGGCTGCCACCTCAGTCCAAGACGCGTGAAATGCCTCCCATACCAGGTAGCCTTAAACAATACTTTTAAATTACAACTTTGGTGTGGACCCACCGAAGGTCAATCCTATCCTTCAAGGTAAGCTAACTCATCAGGTTCTCACCACAAACAAAATCGCATTTTCTCACCACAAACACATTCAATCACTCCACGTCTTCGGTTTTCTATTGAGCTGTACGTTACTTCTTCAGTATGAATATTATATCACTATCACATACACCGGCAAAAGAAACACTACAAGAATAACAGGGTATCGTGACGACATGTATCCCGACGACAAAAGTCATCGCTAAAAGGTGGTCTCTACCGAAGACAAGTAGTCTCCAAAACGTTTGACTACTTTGACCAGATCTGTTTGATCTTAAAATGTATCCAGACGATAAGTCGTCGGACAGCGTGGGCGGGATAGACAAAAAATTCCTCGGTCACTGAAACTCTATGTCGACGACAAGTCGTCGGTATAGGGTACAACAAATTGAATTTTTATTTATTTTTATTCCATATTGTAGAAACCGAAACGACATAGTTTTCTGAAACTCTATACCGACGAAAAGTCGTCGATATAGGGTAAAAATCCAATGTGGCGATCCACTTGAAAATTTTAATTTCTTTTAATAAAGAGAAAATATAAAAACGACGTCTTTATTTGAACCATATACCGACGACATATCGTCGACATAAGATTTTACCCTTACAGAAAGGTATTAGTGCATCGTTCATTGTTCAGTTGCGTATAATCTTTCTCTCTCGGATTAGACAGACGATTTTTCATCATCTTCACCGGCGACAAGATATAGGTATATATTTGGTCCTTGTTTTCTTGATTGGTTATGATTGCTCAATATTTTTACTCTAAATTTAAGGGGTTTTCTTTTGTTTTCTTATTTTGTGCTTTTCTAGTGCCTACTAGCCACCATCTTCAAATCCAACCATCAGAATCCGGCCATCACATCAAAAAGAACAAAACAAGTTAGTGTTTGTTTGTTTTTTTTTTGTTGTTGAAATTTGATATATGTTTGATTTCATGTTTATAATTGTAGATTTGAACATGAAGATTTGTTTTTTGTTTTCTAATTTTTATAATAGATGTTTATTATGTTTTTTTTTGTTAATCTTTTTGTTATTTTGAAGATGAAGACTTGTTTTTTTTTTTTTTATTTAAAAAAAAAAACGTATACCGACAACATGTCGTCGGTATAGGTTTTACCTGTAAAAATTGTTGGAAACTTTTCCTGACGAAAAGTCGTCAGTATGGATTTATACCAAAACTTTTTTTTTACCTCGAAAATCTTTCCCTTTATAGACGACAATTTGTCGGCATAGATGAGTCTTTACCGACAACAATTTTGACTTTTACCGACGGGGCTATACCGACGACTTTGTACGGTCGATAAGTCATCGATATAGGTTTTACCGACGATATGTTGGCGGCATAGGTGTTGAAAAAAATCGTCGATATAGGCCTGGTTCCTTGTAGTGAAATAGCAAATGTCATGCGGAGGAAAGTTAAAAGAATCAAAAAAATCAAGTACAAGTGACACTCCGAGTTCAAGTAGACCGAAGGGTTGTCATCGACTTAAATTTTGCCATGAAAAGGACACTCACTGAATGCCCTGGTTTCAAGGAGTGGCTAGATAAGAAGGTTAATGATTATTATTAATGATTTATGAGTTCCCATAAAGTAAATGTTCATTCAAACGCATATTTGATCGACTGTGGCACTAGTTACAATAAAAAAAGGTAATTAGCGATGACAAAAATCACCGTTAAAGAGTAAACAAGTCATTGGTAAAGGTAATAACAGCGACATGTCACCGTTTGCTGTTGATCAAAATGTCGTCGGTAAATATAATTGTCGCCACTAATGCTACCGTCGCCAATAATACTTCTTGTCGCCGGTAATACTTCTTGTCGCCGTAATAACAATTTTAATTTTTTTGATTTTTTTAATCAATGATTTTAGGTATAAAAAACCGATACATAACGACATTAAATACAAAAAAAATTACATAATAACATCCGATTAGTTATCAAATACTATTATAATTAATTTTATATCAAAATAAACAATCAAAGTTTTACAATTCTAACAAGTAGCAAAGTGTCACGACAAATGTAACATACAAAACACAAATTAATTATCCGACGAACCATCATCTCTATTCCCATCGTTTCCTCTTTGATCTTTCCCTGAATGAAAAAACGCATAAAGCTCATCCCTATATGTCGGGTTGTTGAGCATTGTCCGAATATTTTTCAACTACATAATAAATAACAATATATATAAACTTATAAGTTAAATTATCAAACATAAACAAAAACTACCAAAGTACATTGCTATTTGTTGCACTTAAATACAAAAAATACCAAAAGTACATTGCTATTTCTTGTACTTGGGGGCAAAAACACAATTATCAAATCAACATGCATTTATCGATGCCAAAGTATATTACTACTTTTAAGCTAAAACAAAAAACCCAAAGTACATTGCGTAACACTAATATGTTACGTGCACTAGGGTTCAAAAAGCGTAACCCTAATATGGAACTTCTCTGTGAGAGCGTACAAACAACACTAGGGTTCAAAAGTGTAACCCTAATATGTTACATGCATGCATTATATAAAGACTAGACCTGATAGCGAATCCAAGAATGGACAGACTCATTTCGGAATAAAGAAAACTATATAAGCACATATTTGTCACAACACATAACAAACCTAACAATCTCTCCCTTTGTGTCAAATTTAGAAGGAGTGTCTTCATTGTCTTCGTTGCGCGAAGAGCAGTTTAGGCATTATATTCAGAAGCGAGTTTCAGACACATAAGTACTATCTGGTCATATCCGAAAAACATTTGAGGTCGGCAGAAGAGTTCGCTTTGCATGCTTGAGCCATAAAAAGAATAGTCTTATGAGAAGCTATAGAATAGATGTTGTAAATGATGCTCCAATGCTCTTTTCGGATTGTAACAGCCCGAATCCCCAGGTATCTTCATTTCATATATTTTGTCATTCTGTGAGGGGACTCGGCGAGTTGGTGGTCGAACTCGCCGAGTCGGGTCGCGTTTTTGAGCGGGGGTTCGCATCCGGACTCGGCGAGTCCAAGGGATGGACTCGGCGAGTCCGCGCTGTTTGATGAAACCCTAATTTCCCGGTCCTAAGCCCTATTTAAAGGACCTTATGGCCCTCATATGCGGCCACCTTGAACCCTAAGAGCCTCCATACGTCTGTAAGCCCTTGTGAGTGTGTTTGAAGGCCTTTGTTCATCATTTTGTGTGATATTGCAAGGAAAGGAGGGAGAGGAGCAAGCTTGAAGTGTTGGGGAGCTTAGATCTGTTGCTATTTCATCAAGGGGGTCTTCTTGAGGTAATTTTCTGAGCCAATCTTCGTGTTTTGTGTTGATGGGCCAAACCTAGGGTTTCTTCTTGCATTTCTTGGCTTGAATAAGAAGTATGAGAGGTCCCATGGAGACATGGAACCTAGATTTGGACTTAAGCAGGTCCAAGAGACCCCTCATGACAAGCTTTATGTCCATTCTTTTGAGTTAGAAGCTAAACTTGCCAAATAAGTGGTTGTTTCCTCAAAGTAAGCTTTGTATGCATTGCATGGCAACCAAGACTGAGACTTTACGTGACAAATAAGCTTGGGAAGGCCAGATCTATGTATGTATGGAACGGATCTGACCGCAAAAGCCAGTTTTAGCTGGTGCATGGCATGGACTCGCCGAGTCTGAAGAACAGACTCGACGAGTCGCTTGAAGATTGTCCTTGAGACCATCCTGTGTGTAGTCCGGACCGAGTTGTGGGCGACTCAGTGAGTCGCAGAGAGTTGGAAAGGTTTTGACAGGTGGACCGAGTCAGGATGGGACTCGCCGAGTTGACCTTCGACTCGGCGAGTTGAGTCGCGGTGGCCCTGTGATTCAGGCCCAGGTGGAACTCGTCGAGTCGGGGGAGTACTCGATGAGTCAAAGGGAAAATTCTTGAGAGTTGGTAAAAACGCGTAGACTCGCCGAGTCACTATTGTGCACTCGCCGAGTCTGGTCCAAATTGTCTAAAGACTGCTGACCAAGTCAACCTGTGTTGACTTGATATGGATGGTCCACCCTAGTGGTACAAGTAATAATTGTAGATTTATAATATCATAGGAGGATTGCAGCTCGAGGGTTCGGGCCCGAGTGATTTCAGGATTCACGATTAGCAACTTAGCGAGGCATACGAGGTGAGTCTTCTCACTATACTGTACCCGGAAGGGTTTTGACTGTGTGACCGGAAGGTCGAATATGATATGATATATATGCCTTATGTGTGTTAAGTTATTTGCTATATGTGTCATGTATGATATGTTGGATATGGGTTGGAAGGCGTGGTCATATGGACCGTAAGGGTTGACGTGGGTAGGACCGGAAGGTTTACCCAGTCGGGACGGAAGTCCCCTGAGATACATGGACCGGAAGGTCAAGGCCTGGAAAGGCGTATGTGCGTATGTTGTATTTTGGGAACTCACTAAGCTTTATGCTTACAGTTGTTGCATTATGTGTTTCAGCTACGAGTGAGGACCGTGGGAAGGCGCCAGCGTGACCGTACACACACACACACACATTCGGGGAAACTATTATCTTTTGTTATGTAATCAGTTGTGACTACATTGTTACTTTGGAATCTAAACTTATTACTCATGTTTTGATGGTTGTAAAAATGAAAATTTTTGCTTGGAAATTTTATGACGTTACACGGATAATCCCCACTCTTAGCTTCTGAATATCCTTTGGTTGCTCTTCTGGTTTCAGAATGGGCCTCTTTTTCAGAACTAATGTGATCTTAACATCCATTTTTTCAATTTCCAGAATGTAGCAGATGATCATTCTTTACAAATGCGCTACAATAGGCTCGTACTTCTTTTCATCTTTCATAACAAGGTTGAAGAAGTAGATACAAGCGTATGGGTTCATAAATGGAAAGTCTGCCAAAGTGAACTCATCCACAATATGATTAGCTCCTCTGAATCCCTTGAATTATATGTTCAGAAAGTCTTCGGTCTGAACATGAGATTTAACCTTTACAACAGTTGTTTTCTTCAAGCTCCAAGACTTGTACTGTGGCTTGGCGTACTTTAAGTAAAATGAAAAATGCTTCTGATTAACTGCACTTTTCGAGATCAAAGACTTCTCAATCTTCTCAAAACAACGAAAGAGAAAAGGCATGGGTGTGATGGGAAAATCGAATTGAGATTCCAGATCGTTGTAAAGGTCAAATGAAATCGAGGGCTCCAGCCAGTAGATGCTCGGATTGACAATTGCCTCTTTCTGACGACATAAAGAGAAGTTTTTTCGGTTCTAAAAATTAGGGGATATCGTAGTAACACATGTTTACTTGTTTGTATGGCTTCATTATGTCTAAGTAAGCCTTTTCAAGCATATAAAGTAGAGGAACTCTTCGTAATGGCTAATGTTTTACCCACACACATTTTATGATACGTGACTATGACACTTTAAAAGGATATGCCACATAACATGCCATATCATAGGTGTAGAACATGTCATTGTCCTTGCCACAGTCCACAACAACATCCATGTCATCCACTATCCAAACAAATCATATTACTTTTCACCACACATATTTACTAATTTTAGCCGCATATGGATGTGTAGGTATAACTTACTCTATACCCACACATAGCTGATGTGTAGGTAATGACCTATACCTATATGCATGTGCCGACACATAGTAACATTTAATTTATGTATGGATAAATCCAACTACCACCACATAATATGTATGGAAAATCAATCTACCAAAGCATAATATGCTTCTACCCACATATAATGTGTATGGATAAACACCCAAATTTCTTGTGGTGTGTAACCTACTTCGTACATTAACACATGGTTACATAAAGATCATCACTAATAAAAATACATTTAAATTACAACTTCAATGTTGGACACATGATTACATAAAGATATTGATAAAAAAATTTATTAGTTCAATAATATAAATGATCAATTTATGAATGTTTGCCATGTCGTATATTGAGAAAGAATGTTAGAAAATATTAGCAACCATATAATTACAAATTGTTTTCAAAATATG